ATTTTCGCTGAACTACTATACAATTTTGTTTAGGGGTCAACTACAGTACGACTCTGGGTGCGATATTTCTCGCAGTGGTAAAGACCCTTTGGTGGCCTTCGGCTGTTTTCTACTGATTGGTCGCGTTGTTGTTTCTTTGACACATTCCCCGTTTCCATTCTGAAATTTATGTATGTATATTGTTTAACCAATACAACTGTATATATAACTGCTTATATTTATAATCTCAGTCAACAAATTTCGAGTATCAAGGTGATGTTCACATCATGATCTGATTGTAATAAGTATCACTGCGACCGATTGGTAATATAAGACAAATCTGCATGCCGTGTGCAGAGTGTCATCCCTCCTCTGAATAAACCATACCAATTCAATCAACCGTTTAATCAATTATAATTTAAAGAAGTAACAGACCAAATCTTTGTAGGCCAAGGCTACATCTTTAATTCTTTAAAAAAAAGAAGAAAAATTTACAAATCAAATTGTTTTTCAGCAGGCATGATAAGTAATAAACAGAAACTTTATATACATTTTTTCATGTGTTATCATTGCCTCAGTCATATAAAGATTTTTTCTTTTTAAAATTGTCATGCGGTAAGTTGAAAACATCACTCAGAATCAAGAATATCTTCTGTTAATACTAAACTTCAGGCATTGCAGAGCATTTAACTTGATTAGTGAATATGCATAATTTTCTCTTTCACTCGATTGCCAAGTCTAAGTAACATTGCAATGATCTGCTTTTAAAATGTGCATTGCTAACTAAAACTAATAGATCCCTAAATAAAAGAGGTGACATTTGATGCTTTAAATCTGATGTACTAAAAATTTCATTAAATAAAGGTCACAGTAATGTTATTTTGTCAAATGCCTAAATAAAAAATTTATTCCTTCCTAAAGATTAGATAATATAAATATATCAAAGATGCATCATATCAAAATCAAATATCTTAGGTGACTGACATCTATTTGCAAAATTAGATTCACTTATAAAATATTAACATTAAAATCCTTCCATGTCAATGTAATATGAGTTTTTGCCTCTTAAACAACACACAAAATCCCCTTTTAAAGGATAAACGGATAGTAATTTTGTTTGTATATTAAACAATGTTCTAATCCCTTTATATCATAAAATCAATTCATTACTTTCCATTTCTACAAGAACTGTAAATAGTGAAAATAACATATCAATGATAAACAGATACAAACCTTTCGATGATCATAACTTTCTCTTCATATGAATATAAAAATGACAAAGACAACAGATAAACACATATATATTTCTTAGACACGTCTATACAAATGAAAAACCATATACAACAAATAACATTTGATTGAAATTAATAAGACTTTCCTGAAGTCAAACTCTTTCACGAGAATTTCAATTTGGTTTTGTTATTCCAGAAAAAAAACATAACTGTAAAATAAAAAAACACATTTTGTTCCCATTTAACATTGGCATTGATAGCTACAATTATAAAATGGTGCTAAATTTCAAGATCCCCTAAGTTTAAATGAAAAAGTATCTCATTAAGTGGCTGATGATATATTAGTTATTTCTTTAATGCTTTCAGAAATATTTCCATTCTATTTATGCCAGGCTGATCAGTGATATTGAAGGAAATTACAAAATTTACCATGATTAACCACCCAACCTCAACAAATATAAAGTAAAATAACAAAAATACCGAACTTCAAGGAAAATTCAAATCGGAAAGTCCTTTATAAAATGGGAAAATCAGAAGCTCAAACACATCAAACGAATTGATAACAACTGTCCTATTCCTGACTTAATACAGGCATTTCCTTATGTAGAAAATGGTGGATTAAACCTGGTTTTATAACAAGCCAAACCTCTCACTTATGACAGACGCATAAAATTTCATTATATTGACAACAATGTGTGAAAAAAATAAACAGACATAAAAGATAAAAATGTCAAAAATAGCAGTACATTAGTCAACATTGTGTTATAATCTTAATCAATATAAAAACAAGAAAATCGAGGAATAAAAAAAAAATCGATAGCATCACGTGTTGTTTAAACTTTTCTAAAAGAGAGGCGAATAAAGAGAGAACAAATATGTCAATAAAGAGAAACAAAATGGCATATAGACATAGCACATAAGCAAAAATAAAAAAAAAGAATACAAAAAATGACCACAGCATTAGAGACACATTCAAACATATATTAGTTGATTGAAAGTTTTTCCTAACTTTGAAAATGACATGAGTAAGACGCTAACTCCAATGGTTAAATGATATGAAAAGGTAGATGTAATATTGCAGACTTAGGCTTATTTCCATGACCTCAATTTTTTGTCTGTACAATGAAGTAGTACAGGTATTGATTAATAAATATCATAGTTTTATGCAGCTGAGATTTGCTAAAAATACACAATGCTATGAGTCTCTGAGAAAAATTAATCTAAAGTACTTATGCTGTGTACAATGCATGATTATTATGATTTGTTTGTCAATTACCAATTATCAATTATAAAAATTATCAATTTCATACAAAATGCAGAATATGAATTCAAAACTTGTCTAGATGTAAAATATTCATAATGTCACAATCATATCATAAAAAAATATGATGTATCTGATTTGGTTTGCCATTTCTTGAATATGTTGTTTAAAAACCTGAATTTTTGTGCAGACATGAACTAAATTACAAATGGAAAAGCAATGAACTCAGATGATATTTGTTCCTTTTTAATTTTTTTTTCTCTGCTCTATTGGGAATATTATGAATTCTGACCAGTAAACACTACCCACTCATACATTCTTAAACAATATTTTTGGTATGACTAAAATCCACATTTCAGATATAGAAAAATAACCAATCTTAACTTTTCCATTCAAAGAATTCAAAGCTGTTTTATTGGATAGCAAATGCATGTTTATAAAATAGTACCAGTAAAATTGAATTTGCATATTGTTGATTTTCTTAAACAAGGCTCCATTTCACATAGTTTGCTTGACAGAAATGCTTTTACACTTCAAATATTGTATCATTTAACACTAGTAGTCAAATGAATTATTTACACAAATATACCACCTCGTGATAAATCACAGTCTATTGCATCAATCTTTCTGTTATAATTACACATAGGCCATTCCAACATTGGAGGAATCTTACATGTTTTCTTTCATATTTGTAATCACATAACTAAGTCTATCTGGAAACTCTTGTGCTAAAGTCAAACTGTCAGCTTCTAAACTTTCATTTATCTGAAGAAAATATCAAATATATTAATATTGAGGTATAAGGACTTTATTCCCAAAGTGTTAATTATCTTAAATATTGCATTTAATATTCTCTTTGAAGAAAAAAACACAACATTCAAACACTAAACGAAAGTTTCAAAGTCTATAGACCAGGACTAAGAGGGCAGGCCAAACAATCTGCATGCTAATGAGATGTGTCAATGCTAGTACGACTGAATACCAAATATTATTGACCTTCAGCTAGTGGTTCCCCTTAAACTAACCTAATCACAAACTTTTAAAATGGTTAAACTGAGCAGTGGGATATCCAGTGAACGAAAACAAAAGAAAATTCACTCTTCTTATGATAGAGTCGAGAAAGTCAATAATAAAACAATACCGGTGACGATACTGGTCAAAAATTATTTCTAAATAATAATTGTACATTTTAAAGAAATTATTTGTTAAACTGTGTTATCAGAAATATACATGCAAATACACGATGTTTTGTGTTCAGTATTTATCGAGATAATTGCTTAAGAAGCTTTCAAAATTGAAATTCAAATACTGCCAATCCTTGCTGCATATTGATAAAAAAAAATGGATAAAATCATGTACATACAAAATCGAAAGATCTTTCAAGTCATCAATTTTCTGAGTGTTCCAAAAAGTCCTTAGTATGTTACAATTTCCCAAAGTATGCTTATTTTTTCACACCTACATGTAAGTTATCGAGCACACCGGTCTGCTCTTGTCACATGTATATTCAATAGAGAACTTTTGTTTTTCATGAATATAAACATTTAAAAGTCTGTCTGTGCAGGTTAAAAAATTAAAGATAACTTTTTTTATAAAGTAGGTATCTTTTTACTATTTTGTATACAATTTTAAGAAAAGGATCTCGAGTTTTGTACAAGTATTTGCGGTCTTCTCGATCTATTCTCATTCAATGTTTACATCGAGATAAGGTCTGATTTTGCTTAGTAACTTGATTTAAAAAATGCCAAGCTTTGCTGCATATCAATCGATTCCTTTGGAATTTTTTTCCCTGACTATCTCGTATCTAGCTGTATATATATACGAATAATTAGCATGTTCCAGAGAAGTATACAGACAGTACAACTATGAATTGAAGTTGGAACTCCAGGAATTTATTCGCATAGCAACATTTTAAACCAATTTTACTCCAAGCATCTATAGCCTGCTGTATTCGTCGTTGGCTACTTAAGGAGGAAAATGATAACATTGAGTGGAAGTTTTGTTTTTATTTCAATGTATGTCTATTTTTACTATTTACCAGAAGGTTTTTCCGTGAATCCACAATTGATAGCGTATTTGCTAAATGGGACAAACATTGAGAAGATCTAGTTTTCAGTGTTCACAGGGGAAGTTATATTTGGCACTAGATTTCGCACTGTGAGGCTGTCGCTAAAAACAGCATACCTGAATCTCGTCTCTATGACTTCGTTGAGGACACAATAATAATAATAATAGCGTAATAGGAAGTTTCTGGCTATCCAATTATTTTGATAGGACATCCTTGGAATAGCTTTCTGTTTACCTTTTCTAATACGTATTGTTTAACTGTCTTCATTTTCTTTCAAAACTTATTTTTGTGCTTCTTAAACAAACTTTATCAAGATATTTGAAAATGGAAAATGTTTTTTCTTCAAAATAATGTTGTGCTTTACTGAACTTTCTAAACAACTTAATCCTGGCTAAAACCTTACCATCTATCAGTCATAGCAGAGTAAATTATGGATTTTCAAGTAATTTAGGTAACTAACCTCATTACTGTATTTCTGTACATAGCTATACAATTCCAACAATGCATTGTCTTTGGTAAAGTAATTTGTGCTCATCTGTAAAAATAAAAAAAGTAGTCAACTCAAAAAATAATGTAAAAATTTACATACATATCCATGAAAATAATATGAAATTTTACTATGAAGATTTGTATTGATAAACAGAAAGATCATTAATTCTCATCAATGTACATAATTAAAGAGATATATTGAAAATGCAATCGCTGTAATTGTGTCATTCCAGAAACCATTTCACACTTTTCACTTTTTGTCCCTATTTTAATTATCATGTGTCGCAAATTGTAAAGCTTACAAAAATTCAATGTTGACATAATATATTGCAATATATAATATGTATATAAACATACCCTAGACACTTCAGCTAGATGGGTATTGAGATCCTGATCACTCACTGCAGGCATTCTCTGTATGTCCTCACAATACTTTGACACAGATATTTTGAACACTGGAATATCCTTCGCAAATAATGATTTATTTGATGGGTAATCCTAAAACAAATTGAAAGTCTGATTAAAGCCACTGCACATGTTTTCAACATATCCATTGAAGAAACATCAATCTGTCAGAAATTTCCACAGTATGAACAGACAAATATATTTAACTGACTCGGAACTGTTTTTATTGTGATAATGTAAATTGTAAAAATCAACTTTTTTCTATAGCATGATATTTTTTAGGTCCACAATAATTAAAAAAGTCAACCTGACTAACATGCAAACTCCATCTGCATATATTATCTTTATACACTAACGTACCAAAAATCATTACAGTTTCCGCAGGCATAAAGAAAACAAATATTAGAATGACAAACATGTCGCCATGGTTAGAACTTCGTGCATCTTAGTGATAAGCGCATATAAAAATATAAACTATTAGTTAAGTTTTTTAATACCTTACCTTACTCAAATTCTGATCTGATGTTGTGCAACTATCCATTAAACATTGAGCTACCACAGACAGGCAAGAATCTACTATATTGGTCTTGTGGATATCAAAAACAAAGTCTGGATTCTTGATTATGTTCACCCAGAACCCCAGCAATAAACTGAAAAATACATTTATACTAGTAATACATGTAATGCTTTATAGTCTAGTCAATTTAGTGAACAACAAGTCTGTTACTATCTATGAACAACATACTAAAACTATACAAAAATATATTTTGCGGAAAGTGGTGTAATTAATCAAAAATTTTTGTAATAAAAGTAAGGATATATGAGTTGCTTCCCCTTATTTGCCAAAGTTGGAAAACATAAATGTATTCCAAAAATGTTCTGTATTTTTTAAAACAGTTGAAACAAAACAATGCAATACATAAATATCTCAATTTAAAAGAATAATATTACAAATGCATCACTTTCCTGTCTCAAAATTTGTATATTTGAATAAAGATATAGACCGAGATTGTGTTCTGCTATTTTACAATCCAAGAATCTAATTCTCCGCCACATTGTTGGTATGTAACCTATAAATGGTAAACTGTACTGAATTAGATTAACCAACTTAGTCACAATCTTACTCGGTATTTGAAAGAATTCAGTCCCCTTTGTTAAAGGCACCAACAGTTATTTTTTTTGTTGGGGGAGGGGTTCTCGAAACACATGTTTTGTCCTTTATAAAACAAATGTTATTGCAAGACTTAATTTTTTGAAATTCAAAGTCTTTAATGTATTTTTTTCCACAACTTTATGAGGAAACAATATTTTTTTTTTATCATTTTCCTTCTGGAACAAACATGATAAGATTTAGAATCCAACAATGTTTTTCATAAAAAAATAAGAATGATGAGTGTTAAATGATTGTATGTTAAATATTTTTTCACAAATGAAAATTTCAGGCTTCTTGTAGCAAATATATATATAGCTATAGCTACTCATGTAATTAGCGATGATCTCAGTACTCACATACCATATACATAAAGCTTTGGCTGTAACACTGAATCCACTTTTCACTTTGGTTGCTAATTGGATGTGTACTGATTTATATTTTAGTCGGAGCCAACAGTATTTATTCATCAACTGTAATTAGCTTTGAACTAGCTATTAGAACTCAGTGTCTTTTTGTTAATTGGTTGTATACTCCGTGCAGATCTCTTTGAGTCCAGCCCTTTCCAACTGAGTTTTACAATTTGTTCTTATATTGTTTGCTATTTCAAAACTGTTTCCGATTATGGGAGGGTTGAGTGCTCGCAAACATGGTTAACCTTGCACACTATGAATATGATTATCACAAGTAAGAGGCCTTTTATTACTTGCTGGTTATTGTTTGCTGTCTGTCATATTTTTTCCCCTTTTATTATCTTGACAATTTTATATTTTAATGATGAGCTATTATAGTTGTTAACATCCACACCCACATCATTGTTTTCTCATGTGGAAAGTTTTCTCATTGGCAATCATACAACATCTTCTTATGTTTTTAAAGTGGGGAGATTTTACAATAAATTATGGTTTCACTGTCAAGCGATCAAACATACTACCAAGCTAAAGAGATCACTGATAGAGTTTAGTGGACCTTAAAAGCTAAACATTTATATTCTTTAGGCATGAGGTGTATTTTTTATATATTTTTCTAAGTTTGGTTCAAATGAGTTGAATACAGGTCAGCACATTCCGGAAGCAGAAAACGGCGTCTTTATCATTGATATTTCTGTAATAAAGTATAATTATGAATAAAGAGAGATTTGAGGTTTTTAAAGTCAATGAGAAAGCAACCCAAACGACTAACTAAAACCAACAGACATAATTTCAGATTAGACATGACTATCTAAACGTTATCTCTGGCCAAAAGTCGCCCACTTTTTTACAGTTCTTAGGCTAAAGCTGATTACCTTTTATTAAATTAATTCCATGAGATATCTTAAAGAAGGAACTTGGTAATGTTTTTTTTTTATATATATATATCTTTGATCATAATATTTTCATACAGCAGACAACCCATGTTAGTTCTTTGTCATTATCATTTGGTTGATGTTTCAGACCACCACATACAGGTTTACAGGGTACACACATAAGGCGCTGTTACTATTAACACTTCCCATTTGGATATTGATAGAGCTTGCTAAATAAAATTAGTCTGTGTTTAACTGTGACTTTATGCAATTCAAATGTTGAAAAAGTAGCTAATGAAAAAATATACAAAAAGGACTACAATCAATGACGATGCAAGGACACTAGAAAAATAACTCTTCCTGCAAATTAACATGACAAAATCAAAGTCAGTAACCAAACTGATTTACAGTTATTTTTGAACACAATAAATTTTTTGTTTATTATACCTACATGTATAATTACTATAAATACAAACAAGAAAATGTACATAACAGAAACATAAGATACAAATTTCAGACTTTCACAAAATTGACTTCTTTAAAACTGAGTTTACCTGTGTGTTTATTTATTCTACATGGTCTAGAGAAACTAGGGGAGGGTTGAGTTCTCACACAACCTGTTTTACCCCAGCCACATTATTGCACCTATCCAAAGTCAGGAACCTCTAGCCTTTGTTTGTCTTGTGTGTTTTTTTTTTGTTGTTTTTTTTATAATTTTGGTTCATTTGTATGTATTGGAGTTTAGGGTGGTGACCTTTTCGCTGAACTAGTGTACAAAATAATTAAGGGGTCAGCTGAAGCCCAACTCCGTGTGCCGGATTTACTTGCTATGTAAAAGACCCATTATAGTGTCCTTGTTTTCTCTTTGATACATTCCCTGTTTCCATTCTCCATTTTACATTTTTGAAAATCAAACTGGAAATAACCAAGGTTTTAAAATTTTCATTTTTATGCCCCTCACATTGGACAAGGATTTGTATAGTAAGACTTACTATTAACAGTCCAATCAACTTGAAACTAAGTGCACATGTTCCCTATGATATGATCTTTCTAATTTTAATGTCAAATTAGAGTTTTGACCCCAATTTCATAGTCCACTGAACATAGAAAATGATAGTGCGGGTGGGGCATCCGTGTACTATGGACACATTCTTGTTTTGTAATTAGTTCGTAAAACAAAATATTTCACACAACAAGTTGATTATTATTGATATCGACAACAATAGGAATACATATGCATATGCATATAAGCATAAGATAATATATTCTGTCTATAAAGATCCTATGTTAAAAGTTTTAACCATGAATAACCGAGCTTTTTATTTCCATTTTTCACAATTTTTCTCTGCAAATCAGATTTTACACAAGAATTACAATTTTTTAAAATACTAATAACTATAGGACTTCTTAAGATAAACATCAGATAGTATATTCTATTTAGATCCCAATTCGAAAGTATTAACCATCAACAACCGAGATTTTTTCATTTCGAGTTTTCGGGTTTTCTGTCTTAAAACATATATTCAACCAAAATTACCCAAATACTAATATTGATAGATAAAATACCTCACAAAATAAACATAAAATAGCATGTTATTTTTTCTATATAGATCAAATTTCAAAAATATTAACCATTAACAACGGAGATTTTCTACGTTTCCATATTCATGATATTTCGATGTTTTTTCACTAAAATTCACTCATTTCATCTCAAAATTACTTCAATATGAATAATAATAACTAGATGACTACATAATAGTCTATTAAGATAAGGTTTCTTGTCTTCGACAAGCTTTAGGTCTAAAAATGTAACCATAAATAACAACTTTTCTTCTTTTCCAGTTTTCAGCATTTTTTCTCTAAAAACCACATATTTCACCCGAAATAACCTTTTCCGCAAATCCTATCAATGTATAGTTTTAGTATGTTGTTAGTACAAGTCTATATTATAATTTGCACTAAAAAAACCTTGTGTTGCAATTAGTTGGAGGTTGAGTTATTTTAGAGCTAAATTGACTAGGCTATTAGCAAATTAATCTACTAATGATTGCTGGATTCAGTTTTACAAATAATTAATTTCTTGAAGTACAGAATCTTCAATTTTGTTGAATGGTTTGTGATACAAGGATAAAGAAGATATAGATTTTTTTTCAAAAATGAAAACACTTATAACTGAATAAGAAGTGTTTCCTGTTGTACTAGCATACATTTTATTACTAAGTCAGTTGTTCAGAAGTCACTTTAATGGCAGGTTTTAGAATGGTTCTAGAACACATTTAAAGCTAACAAGTTGTTATTGTTGGCATTTATTTTTGTATAGACCAATGAAAGTACGTTCTTAGTAGATATTTTCAATAAGTGTATGACTCCGACCAAAGTCCGAATACGAGTCGGAGTAAGACAGTTAAAATTACGGGAGCGATCTCAAAATAACAAAACTATTGTAAACATTGTACTTTAATCATTATAGTATTAATTGAAAAGTTGTTTTCGGTGATTGACAAAACAATAACTACCGCAAACTTTAAACATGGCTTTAAGAGTGTAATATTTATGATGCTCTAATAAATCTTGAAGCTACAAAAAAAAAACCCTCCCCCCCAAAAAAAACACCAAAAAGAAACAAATGATCTTTAATGCAATTGGTTCGCAGTAACCATGAAAGAAATAAAACATTTAGTACAGAAAAGGGTTCAAATTGTTTAAAAGCATCGGAGTTGATTTAGATTATTCTTGCACCTATAAAACAATCATTCAGAAAACTTCATCTCGATTTTCCTTGCCTGCATGTACAATTCTTGACAGACTTTTATAAAATGTATATCATAGGTGTATATTAGGAGTGTCTCAGACACTTCGAAAATCAGTGTTGATCAACTATTTTTAAAAGATATATGTCTCTAGGAGATACAAATTCTTCCGGAAATTGCATTGTGAGTGCTCTCTTGCCAGGCATTTTTAAAATTTGGTATTGCCCTTGGACAGATAAAATATGTGAAACGTTGGGAAATTGGAACTCTGTTCTTTTTTATTCTCATCAAAATCAATTCGAACAGAAGTATGCATTACTACCGAGCCCCTTAAATGCCCCATGTAAATATAAAATTTTTCGTTTGATAGAGATTTAATCTTGTGCGCACCAGTTTAAAAAATCGTGCCATAGACTTTCAAACTCGTGCGCACGACTTTAAAGCTTATATGCACGACTTTTAAAA